GTATCTATTCCTTGAGGTTCAATGCTCCTTAGGATGAAAAAAAAAAGAGGAATGTAAGAAAGAAAAGTACCAAATGAGGTTAAGCTGAAGGTTTTGGACATGTTGCCAATGCTCTCTAATGAAAATAATAGAAGTGACCATTTATTAGATTACTCAACTATGCTAAAAAAATCCTTTTTATGAACATTTCTTTTTCTATCCATTTTTCATTTTGCATAATAAGTTCAATTTCTTTGTTCTAGGACCTGTTAACATCACTGCAAATCAATTTTGGGCGAAGTTGGGAACATTTTCACCAGATTTCAGAAGTTTTGAGTAATCTTGTTACCTTGTGTTTTGCCAGAATTTGAGCCAGAATTACTCCCGTAGTGGGCTGCTATACTAACTTAGAGAGCGGGGTTCCTAACACCTTCACTCTCTCAACCTTTTCGACCCAAAGCCTTTCAGTTTGGTGCCTTACCCATGAAGGATGGAGTCACTATCAAAGGATTAATTCAAATCTTTGAAAACCGAAAAATGAGGGCCCATTTCCTCTAAAAGATGGATGGCGACTCCAACTCTTTGAGTCGGCCATGAGCTTCCTAGAGATCACAACAGGTTTTCATCATGTGTTTTTGTGTTCCTTTTTCATCTTGCTTATATTCGAGGTTGTAAATAACCCAAACTACGCTCGGTTCGATCCCTCACAAGGGGGTACATAGGTAGCCTAGGCAGTAGCGCTTGGGTTCGACCAGTATAATAAAATAAAAATAAGTTTACTTAATAAAGTGAAATAATCATCTTTTCATTGATCTTACATTTCAATTCTATACTTCTTCGTACCTGCTAAACAACCCTAGGTTTCTTACTTAATAGGTTCTACCCTACCTTAGCCATGTCATTCATAGCATGTTTTCATGGATCTCATTCATTCCACCTATGGCACACACACACATACACTAGTTTCCCGTCATATTGTTTCATGCATATGGTATCTATTCTTCGAGGTTCAATGCTCCTTAGGATGAAAAAAAAATGAGGAATGTAAGAAAGGAAAAAACCGAATGATATTAAGCCGAAGGTTTTGGACATGATGCCAATGCTCTCTAATGAAAATAACAGAAGTGACCATTTATTAGATTACTCAACTATGCTAAAAAAATCCTTTGTTATGAATTCGTCTTTTAACCATGTACCCTTGTCCTTGCCAATTCTCGTGACATTCATACCCACTCCCACAGTCTTTTAAACTACCACCTCAACTAGTATCCCCATTCCACCAACCACCAATTCATAAATGTTCATCTGGTGCACTAGCTAAAAAACCTCTTCACATATCGATCCCACCTTAGGTAACCCCGATTTATACATCATCTTCCTAGTTGGCATCACACGCATTATCCCCTACTCCAGTACAGGCAACACTACATGGCCAGTCATCCTAGAAGAAGGAAAAAATGGTACTCACCCAACTATCGTGCTCCCATGCCTAGTTGTTACCTTTTCTTGTTTCAAAGGGATATCTCTGACCATTGAAATGAAACCACCTCTAGAACCAAAGCCAAAGAAGTACGATGAAAGTGCTCATTGCAGAAATCACCAGGGACTAGGGCACACGATTGACCACTATTGGCAGTTGCAGATTGCCATATAGGACCTCATTGATGAAGGCGTGTTTGATCCCACCAAGGAAGTTCCAAACATGGCGTCACCAATGCCCAAGAAGCTGATCCATTAGAAAATCTCATTAGTTTTGGTTCATTGCATAAGGACTCTTTTTCACTTATTCCATTTTGTCTTGCTTTAATCTTTTGGTAGTTTGGAAGCGAATATGGTCATTGGATGATTCATCTTTTGAATTAATGAAAATTTTACTTAGTTATTTCATTTTATTGCTCTGTCTTTCCCTAAACTTGGAAAGAGATAAAGTTGTCACTTCCCTTGAGAGGAATGCATAAGTAGGACTCAAGGGCATAACTTTGTGAAAAATGATTGTTAATTGAAGGTCCATTGATAGAAATGTCTAAGGAAATGGGGGGGGGGGGTTAACCTCACAATTCAAAAATCCATTCTCAACCATATCCATAAATAAATGCATCATTGATAGGTACTCCTTTTGATCTATTTCCTGAGCCAATACAGAACACAAGCATTATATTAACCTAGCGTATTGCTGATTGATCAAGGAAAGGACTAGAGGCCATTATTGGTTGTTTTTGTTTATCTCAAACCCCTTACCACTATCAATACTGCTAGTTAGCCCGTTGAGCTGATTTCACTAGACCTTTTTTGTCAAACCAAGCAAATTCCCATGATGCTTCTTTCCAAAGGGCTAGAAAAAGTTAAAAAAGAAAGAGAGAAAAAGGGAACAAATAAAAGGAGAAGAAAAGAGAAAAAGAATCACTCTCATTCAAGTAATCTCAGAACATTCAAATCTTGAAGATGTCAAATGAGATAACTACCCCTGAGTCAGTGGAACTCAAATTGTGCTCGACATATAGTTCTTTCCTATTGGTTATGCATTTGATGGAGAAATGATGGGAGGCTCTCTTTCGGTTGATTGCTTTATCCATTTTTGTCAAACCCTCTTTATTTCGCTAGTCATCCCTTTGAGCCTTTATAGGAACCATTCCTTTAAATAAACCTTCCTAGGAGGCGGATGCCATATGCTCAATTATGCATGCAAATCTCAACAAGTTTCTTGGGAAGGACAAAAGGAAAAGAGAAGATGAAATTTTTGATGAAGAGATTTTTCTTTGGTATCTAACTTTTGATGATGAGATTTCTTTGGACCATTTTGCCCCTAGATTTAGAGGATCACTAGACTCGACTTTTCTCTTCTTTTCCCTTTTTTTTGGCTAATCCTTTGAGATTTAGCAAATGACATAAACCCCTAGATTTTTCTTTGGTTGGTGGGTGATTTTGAGGAAGGTGTGGATATAGTCCAATGGGCTAAGAGATCAACCAATTGCAGAAAAGAAGAAGCCATTCGGATCATTGATCCAAGATTAACTGAAGTTCCAATCGATAAAGCAATGCATGTCTTCATTGCCATGCTATGCGTTCAGGAGAACAGCGTCGAACGACCAACAATGAGAGAGGTGATCCAAATGCTGTCGAAGTTCTTGCACCATATTATCTAGTATCAATCTTCTTCCCCTGTCCCTCTGCAACCAAATAACCTTGAGAAGGAGAAAGAGTTCTCTAAGATTCCACCTGATCTCTTTCATTTAAGAAACATGAATTTCAAAGCATTGAAGATTAGTTACACTTATGCTGCCTTTAGAAAGGGCTTGGTTTTATTATAGCCTTGCAAAGTTGCAAAGTCCTCAACCTAAAATTTCTTGATAAGTTTACTTTTTTTTTTTCTTGTTGAAGTCTATCTATATTGGAGATATACTGGCAAAAAAGATGTGGGAATAATTGGTTGGTGGTGGGGAATAGTTCCAACTTGTTAAGGGAGAAAATCTATTTCAAGCTGCCTGTAGACCTAATGGGTCATGCATGATCTTTGTGTCATAATATAATATTTACACATTTTATCAATGGCTTTGTACCTCATTTCATTTTCTTTTATTTGTTTAAACTAGCTAATAACCACCCTGTACTAAGGACAGGGCAACCATACCCATTTTTTAGTTTGAGATCCACTACTCATGAGATAAATTTGGCTTTGATTTTCCAATTTAACTTAGGAGATTAAATTAGGTTTGATTTCTAATTAATGGCTCTTTTTTTTTAAATAATTAGAATATTTATATGTTGATTCTTTTATTTGACTCAAGAAATTATATTAGAAAGTTAGTCATTATTAATATAATTTTGCTAGTCATCCCTTTGAGCCTTTACAGGAACTATTCCTTTAAATAAACCTTCCTAGGAGGCGGATGTCATATGCTCAATTATGCATGCAAATCATAACAAGTTTCTTGGGAAGAACAAAAGGAAGAGAGAAGATGAAATGAATAGAAAATTTGGGTTTAGTGTGCATAATTGAAAAAAAAAAGAGAGAGAAAAGAAAATGAAGCATCAAACAAAAACTGGGGCAACCAATTGCTACAAAGAATGAAGAGAAGAGCAAAAAAGAAAAAAAAACTGGGGTAAATGTGATGATCAAACTAATGAGATATTGTTCTGTAGCGACATCCGTTCTTAGGTTTTTATTTTAACCTCACCTATTTACATTTCGTCTTGTAATAAAGTCCTCCTTGATCACCTGGGTGCATGACCCATAGTACTTAAAGACATGAAGAGCACTTTGTTTCATTTATGATTGCGAGAGTTTGATTGAAGAAAAATAAGAGTACAAGAGCATAATTTTGAATAAATCCCTATAAATTGATTCAAGCATCTGATACCCATCATAGTTTAAGTTTCTTGAGCCTTTTATCCCTTGTTTCAGAACCCTTGTCCTAAGCCACGTTTTGTCCTAGTCAGAAGTCCTCCTCAATCCATGAGAAATTGGTAATTAGCACATAGACCTGAATGGGTTGGCCAAAAAAAAGGGAAAAAGAAGAGAAAAGTTGAGTCTAATGATCCTCTAAATTTAAGGGCAAAATGATCCAAAGAAAAATCTGTTCATTAAAAGTTAGATACCAAAGAAATGGTTCCTGCAAAGGCTCAAAGGGTTTATTTAGATACCAAAGAAAGACCTCTTCATCAAAAGTTAGATACCAAAGAAAAACCTCACTATTGTTTTTGAGGTTTATATCAACACCCTCTATTAAAAGAGCATCTAAAACATGGTTACCCCAACTCTAGTGTGGGGTTTATGTTAATAATGACAAACTTTCTAATATAATTTCTTGAGTCAAATAAAAGAATCAACATTTAAATATTCTAGTTGTTTTTAAAAAAAAATGAGCCATTAATTAGAAAACAAACCTAATTTAATCTCCTAAATTAAATTGGAAAATCAAAGCCAAATTTATCTCATGAGTAGTGGATCTCAAACTAAAAAATGGGTATGGTTGCCCTGTCCTTAGTACGGGGTGGCTATTAGCTAGTTTAAACAAATAAAAGAAAATGAAATGAGGTACAAAGCCATTGATAAAATGTGTATATATTATATTATGATACAAAGATCATGCATGACCCATTAGGTCTGCAGGCCCACAGCTTGAAATAGAAATTCTCCCTTAACAAGTTGGAACTATTCCCCACCACCAACCAATTATTCCCACATCTTTTTGGCCAGCATATCTCCAATAGATAGACTTCAACAAGGAAAAAAGGTAGACTTATCAAGAAATTTCAGGTTGAGGATTTTGCAACTTTGCAAGGCTATAATAAAACCAAGCCCTTTCTGAAGGCAGAATAAGTGTAACTAATCTTCAATGCTTTGAAATTCAAGTTTCTTAAATCAAGAGATCAGGTGGGATCTTAGAGAACTCTTTCTCCTTCTCAGGGTTATTTGGTTGCAGAGGGACAGGAGAAGAAGATTGATACTGGATAATATGGTGCAAGAACTCCGACAGCATTTGCACCACCTCTCTCATTGTTGGTCGTTCGACGCTGTTCTCCTGAACGCATAGCATGGCAATGAAGAAGACATGCATCGCTTCATCGATTGGAACTCCTGTTAATCTTGGATCAATGATCCGAATGACTTCTTCTTTTCTGCAATTGGTTGACCTCTTGGCCCATTGGACTATATCCACACCTTCCTCAAAATCACCCACCGGCCGACGCCCGGTGATGAGCTCGAGAAGGACAACTCCAAAGCTATAGACATCACTCTTTTCATCAACCTTGAGGGTGTAGGCATATTCTGTGCATCATCAAATAATTCTCAGTGTTAGCCATTGCCAAAAACATGATCTCTTAACACTACGCACTACGAGAAAGAATAACTAGAATTTGGTGCATTAGAGCTGTGTTTCGGTGTAGTTGTTAAGTAATTTCCACCCTAAGAGATGAAAGAACGAATAAAAATAAAAACTCCACACTAACAAAATCAAATTTTAACTCTTGGAAATGGGTCAGGTGAGGTCAACAAATTACCCAATCAACAAGCTATTCTATATCCAAAACTCGGTACCCAATTGAGAGGGCTGAAGCACAGCAGCTTTTGGCTTTTCAAGGTAAGCCCCACACAAACAGCTGATAAGCTAAGTTCACTGAAAAATCCCGAGTGTCCAAAAACAGGTATCATTCAGCCATTTGAAGTGAAGGGCTGTCTTCTTAAACCCTTTTGAGTAACTTACCTGCAGCGTTTCAAAGTGGCTGAGCCAGCTTAGCTATATATCTTCAGGCAATCCTCACAAAAAGGCCCTAGGTTATACGGATATCTATTTACAAATGTTAGACAGATATACCACTATTTACAAATTGCAATAGTACAGTATCAATTGATCGGGTCTGACAGTGGTCGGATACAACCACCTGAATTTCCAATTAAGACTGACTCAACCACTTAACCAACCTACTAGTCTGAACCAAACAATGAACAATAAATAACTAAACTATTGCCGGTTCAGCTCAAAACTTTATGAACCGGAGTGCTTAAAGGTTCAATTCGGAACATAAATCCGAAGGGGTACACAAATCTTAGGATCCCAATAAAGTGGGCAAATACATATCTACTCTTTTATTTTTCATTTCCTTGATAATTCACACAAACCCAAAAGTATGCTTAATAATGTTATTTAGGCCTGTCGAGTCGCTTTCACGAAGCACGATAAGTTAGACTGTTACATTGCATCGGTTTCAGAATCTGCATGTCAGATTGACTCAAATTCCAATCGGACTCTTAGCTTCCGGCACGGAAATATGTGGCAGTGGCATCGTAAACGCGGCGTGTTTTACTGTTTTTGACCTCATCTCGCCAAATAAGAAAAGGGTATTTATGATCTCTACAAAAATCACGGGTGGTGCCAAAATCTCTTTGCTGCAGAGAGCAAAGTACCGGCAGACAGTCGAACTGTAGAGACAATTTTTCTCTGAGCCTTATTCACCGTCCATTTTCACGGTATGGCCCTTCTACCCTAATTGCAAAATGGGTTTCCTGATCCGGTCAATTAGGCCTAATAAAGTAATAAGACTTTACTTTCGTTATGGCGGGAATGACTCGGGTCAGGTAGGGCTGCTAACGGATTGGGTCCGGGTGTTCTCAGTCCTAAACAGATTAGGACAAAATCATATATCCGGAACCATCTTGATTAATATTTGGGTATACTGAAAATTATATTTCTTTTTCTAAATAATAACTTAAAACATAAATTTTAATAATATAGCCTTAATAAAAACGATAGTAAAATACTAAATTATATATTGTATATGGTTTTATTATTTTCAACTACTATTATCTTATATATTTTTTATCAAATTTATCATTTCAAACATAAAATATGTTAAATTTGAAGAAACCTTATATATATGTATATATATATATTGGCTGGGTCTGAATTGGTTCACAACAGACAAAAACTGGAATTGACCAATTATACAAAATCTTGAAATCAGAACTGACATACTTGATTCGGTTTAGTTTGGGCAGCTGAGAAAAACCAATGCATTGACAGTCCTAAGGTCGAGATCTTCATCAATTGAGGGCTTGGTTGTTGGTGGTATTAGTTGGTTTGCTTCAGCATTGACGCAGAATCAAATCTCCCAATCAGCACTTTGGAGAAAAAAGGGTTAGAAGGAAATTGTTAATGATGCATAACACCAAATACCAAAAAAAGTTCGGAACCTTGGGAGTTTAACTGACACAATGAGATAAGTTCAACCATCTGATATAATTTTTTTTTTCGTTTTTCCACCTAGTTGGAGGAAGAACCGCAAAAGTGGTCCAAAGAAGTTAGTCGCTTGAATATAGGCATATTAGGGAATCTTCAAAATTGGACTAGTCAGACCCATGAAACCATTTTGAGCAAGAAATGAACAATGGGCTTTGGAATTAAAGGATAAAGGAGAGTAATGTACATACCAGGAGCAATGTAGCCGTAAGAGCCCGCAATTGCTGACATGCATTCGGATGCACCACCGTCGACCAAGAACTTAGCCAAACCAAAATCAGCAACATGGGCTTCAAAGCTCGAATTCAAAAGAATGTTGTTAGATTTGACATCTCTATGGACTATAAGAGGAGAACAGTCATGGTGTAGATAGCACAGACCCTTGGCAGCTTCAATGGCTATCTTGTACCTCACATTCCAACCCAAGAAGCCTCCTCTCTTCCCATGAAGAGCCTCTCCCAAGCTTCCATTCCTCATGTATTCGTATACCAATAAGTTGGTCTCTGAATTCGAACAGAAAGCTAACAATCTCACTATGTTTCTGTGTCGAATATTGCCTAGTGTTTGAATTTCAGCCCTGAANAGGAAATAGGGGTAATCCTATCAGTTCAAAATAGCAATATCCATTCCCAACCATAAGGTTGAAGTCATTGTGATGGGGTATGCACTCCTTTTGATCTATTTCCTGAGCCAATACAGAACACAAGCATTATATTAACCTAGCGTATTGCTGATTGATCAAGGAAAGGACTAGAGGCCATTATTGGTTGTTTTTGTTTATCTCAAACCCCTTACCACTATCAATACTGCTAGTTAGCCCGTTGAGCTGATTTCACTAGACCTTTTTTGTCAAACCAAGCAAATTCCCATGATGCTTCTTTCCAAAGGGCTAGAAAAAGTTAAAAAAGAAAGAGAGAAAAAGGGAACAAATAAAAGGAGAAGAAAAGAGAAAAAGAATCACTCTCATTCAAGTAATCTCAGAACATTCAAATCTTGAAGATGTCAAATGAGATAACTACCCCTGAGTCAGTGGAACTCAAATTGTGCTCGACATATAGTTCTTTCCTATTGGTTATGCATTTGATGGAGAAATGATGGGAGGCTCTCTTTCGGTTGATTGCTTTATCCATTTTTGTCAAACCCTCTTTATTTCGCTAGTCATCCCTTTGAGCCTTTATAGGAACCATTCCTTTAAATAAACCTTCCTAGGAGGCGGATGCCATATGCTCAATTATGCATGCAAATCTCAACAAGTTTCTTGGGAAGGACAAAAGGAAAAGAGAAGATGAAATTTTTGATGAAGAGATTTTTCTTTGGTATCTAACTTTTGATGATGAGATTTCTTTGGACCATTTTGCCCCTAGATTTAGAGGATCACTAGACTCGACTTTTCTCTTCTTTTCCCTTTTTTTTGGCTAATCCTTTGAGATTTAGCAAATGACATAAACCCCTAGATTTTTCTTTGGTTGGTGGGTGATTTTGAGGAAGGTGTGGATATAGTCCAATGGGCTAAGAGATCAACCAATTGCAGAAAAGAAGAAGCCATTCGGATCATTGATCCAAGATTAACTGAAGTTCCAATCGATAAAGCAATGCATGTCTTCATTGCCATGCTATGCGTTCAGGAGAACAGCGTCGAACGACCAACAATGAGAGAGGTGATCCAAATGCTGTCGAAGTTCTTGCACCATATTATCTAGTATCAATCTTCTTCCCCTGTCCCTCTGCAACCAAATAACCTTGAGAAGGAGAAAGAGTTCTCTAAGATTCCACCTGATCTCTTTCATTTAAGAAACATGAATTTCAAAGCATTGAAGATTAGTTACACTTATGCTGCCTTTAGAAAGGGCTTGGTTTTATTATAGCCTTGCAAAGTTGCAAAGTCCTCAACCTAAAATTTCTTGATAAGTTTACTTTTTTTTTTTCTTGTTGAAGTCTATCTATATTGGAGATATACTGGCAAAAAAGATGTGGGAATAATTGGTTGGTGGTGGGGAATAGTTCCAACTTGTTAAGGGAGAAAATCTATTTCAAGCTGCCTGTAGACCTAATGGGTCATGCATGATCTTTGTGTCATAATATAATATTTACACATTTTATCAATGGCTTTGTACCTCATTTCATTTTCTTTTATTTGTTTAAACTAGCTAATAACCACCCTGTACTAAGGACAGGGCAACCATACCCATTTTTTAGTTTGAGATCCACTACTCATGAGATAAATTTGGCTTTGATTTTCCAATTTAACTTAGGAGATTAAATTAGGTTTGATTTCTAATTAATGGCTCTTTTTTTTTAAATAATTAGAATATTTATATGTTGATTCTTTTATTTGACTCAAGAAATTATATTAGAAAGTTAGTCATTATTAATATAATTTTGCTAGTCATCCCTTTGAGCCTTTACAGGAACTATTCCTTTAAATAAACCTTCCTAGGAGGCGGATGTCATATGCTCAATTATGCATGCAAATCATAACAAGTTTCTTGGGAAGAACAAAAGGAAGAGAGAAGATGAAATGAATAGAAAATTTGGGTTTAGTGTGCATAATTGAAAAAAAAAAGAGAGAGAAAAGAAAATGAAGCATCAAACAAAAACTGGGGCAACCAATTGCTACAAAGAATGAAGAGAAGAGCAAAAAAGAAAAAAAAACTGGGGTAAATGTGATGATCAAACTAATGAGATATTGTTCTGTAGCGACATCCGTTCTTAGGTTTTTATTTTAACCTCACCTATTTACATTTCGTCTTGTAATAAAGTCCTCCTTGATCACCTGGGTGCATGACCCATAGTACTTAAAGACATGAAGAGCACTTTGTTTCATTTATGATTGCGAGAGTTTGATTGAAGAAAAATAAGAGTACAAGAGCATAATTTTGAATAAATCCCTATAAATTGATTCAAGCATCTGATACCCATCATAGTTTAAGTTTCTTGAGCCTTTTATCCCTTGTTTCAGAACCCTTGTCCTAAGCCACGTTTTGTCCTAGTCAGAAGTCCTCCTCAATCCATGAGAAATTGGTAATTAGCACATAGACCTGAATGGGTTGGCCAAAAAAAAGGGAAAAAGAAGAGAAAAGTTGAGTCTAATGATCCTCTAAATTTAAGGGCAAAATGATCCAAAGAAAAATCTGTTCATTAAAAGTTAGATACCAAAGAAATGGTTCCTGCAAAGGCTCAAAGGGTTTATTTAGATACCAAAGAAAGACCTCTTCATCAAAAGTTAGATACCAAAGAAAAACCTCACTATTGTTTTTGAGGTTTATATCAACACCCTCTATTAAAAGAGCATCTAAAACATGGTTACCCCAACTCTAGTGTGGGGTTTATGTTAATAATGACAAACTTTCTAATATAATTTCTTGAGTCAAATAAAAGAATCAACATTTAAATATTCTAGTTGTTTTTAAAAAAAAATGAGCCATTAATTAGAAAACAAACCTAATTTAATCTCCTAAATTAAATTGGAAAATCAAAGCCAAATTTATCTCATGAGTAGTGGATCTCAAACTAAAAAATGGGTATGGTTGCCCTGTCCTTAGTACGGGGTGGCTATTAGCTAGTTTAAACAAATAAAAGAAAATGAAATGAGGTACAAAGCCATTGATAAAATGTGTATATATTATATTATGATACAAAGATCATGCATGACCCATTAGGTCTGCAGGCCCACAGCTTGAAATAGAAATTCTCCCTTAACAAGTTGGAACTATTCCCCACCACCAACCAATTATTCCCACATCTTTTTGGCCAGCATATCTCCAATAGATAGACTTCAACAAGGAAAAAAGGTAGACTTATCAAGAAATTTCAGGTTGAGGATTTTGCAACTTTGCAAGGCTATAATAAAACCAAGCCCTTTCTGAAGGCAGAATAAGTGTAACTAATCTTCAATGCTTTGAAATTCAAGTTTCTTAAATCAAGAGATCAGGTGGGATCTTAGAGAACTCTTTCTCCTTCTCAGGGTTATTTGGTTGCAGAGGGACAGGAGAAGAAGATTGATACTGGATAATATGGTGCAAGAACTCCGACAGCATTTGCACCACCTCTCTCATTGTTGGTCGTTCGACGCTGTTCTCCTGAACGCATAGCATGGCAATGAAGAAGACATGCATCGCTTCATCGATTGGAACTCCTGTTAATCTTGGATCAATGATCCGAATGACTTCTTCTTTTCTGCAATTGGTTGACCTCTTGGCCCATTGGACTATATCCACACCTTCCTCAAAATCACCCACCGGCCGACGCCCGGTGATGAGCTCGAGAAGGACAACTCCAAAGCTATAGACATCACTCTTTTCATCAACCTTGAGGGTGTAGGCATATTCTGTGCATCATCAAATAATTCTCAGTGTTAGCCATTGCCAAAAACATGATCTCTTAACACTACGCACTACGAGAAAGAATAACTAGAATTTGGTGCATTAGAGCTGTGTTTCGGTGTAGTTGTTAAGTAATTTCCACCCTAAGAGATGAAAGAACGAATAAAAATAAAAACTCCACACTAACAAAATCAAATTTTAACTCTTGGAAATGGGTCAGGTGAGGTCAACAAATTACCCAATCAACAAGCTATTCTATATCCAAAACTCGGTACCCAATTGAGAGGGCTGAAGCACAGCAGCTTTTGGCTTTTCAAGGTAAGCCCCACACAAACAGCTGATAAGCTAAGTTCACTGAAAAATCCCGAGTGTCCAAAAACAGGTATCATTCAGCCATTTGAAGTGAAGGGCTGTCTTCTTAAACCCTTTTGAGTAACTTACCTGCAGCGTTTCAAAGTGGCTGAGCCAGCTTAGCTATATATCTTCAGGCAATCCTCACAAAAAGGCCCTAGGTTATACGGATATCTATTTACAAATGTTAGACAGATATACCACTATTTACAAATTGCAATAGTACAGTATCAATTGATCGGGTCTGACAGTGGTCGGATACAACCACCTGAATTTCCAATTAAGACTGACTCAACCACTTAACCAACCTACTAGTCTGAACCAAACAATGAACAATAAATAACTAAACTATTGCCGGTTCAGCTCAAAACTTTATGAACCGGAGTGCTTAAAGGTTCAATTCGGAACATAAATCCGAAGGGGTACACAAATCTTAGGATCCCAATAAAGTGGGCAAATACATATCTACTCTTTTATTTTTCATTTCCTTGATAATTCACACAAACCCAAAAGTATGCTTAATAATGTTATTTAGGCCTGTCGAGTCGCTTTCACGAAGCACGATAAGTTAGACTGTTACATTGCATCGGTTTCAGAATCTGCATGTCAGATTGACTCAAATTCCAATCGGACTCTTAGCTTCCGGCACGGAAATATGTGGCAGTGGCATCGTAAACGCGGCGTGTTTTACTGTTTTTGACCTCATCTCGCCAAATAAGAAAAGGGTATTTATGATCTCTACAAAAATCACGGGTGGTGCCAAAATCTCTTTGCTGCAGAGAGCAAAGTACCGGCAGACAGTCGAACTGTAGAGACAATTTTTCTCTGAGCCTTATTCACCGTCCATTTTCACGGTATGGCCCTTCTACCCTAATTGCAAAATGGGTTTCCTGATCCGGTCAATTAGGCCTAATAAAGTAATAAGACTTTACTTTCGTTATGGCGGGAATGACTCGGGTCAGGTAGGGCTGCTAACGGATTGGGTCCGGGTGTTCTCAGTCCTAAACAGATTAGGACAAAATCATATATCCGGAACCATCTTGATTAATATTTGGGTATACTGAAAATTATATTTCTTTTTCTAAATAATAACTTAAAACATAAATTTTAATAATATAGCCTTAATAAAAACGATAGTAAAATACTAAATTATATATTGTATATGGTTTTATTATTTTCAACTACTATTATCTTATATATTTTTTATCAAATTTATCATTTCAAACATAAAATATGTTAAATTTGAAGAAACCTTATATATATGTATATATATATATTGGCTGGGTCTGAATTGGTTCACAACAGACAAAAACTGGAATTGACCAATTATACAAAATCTTGAAATCAGAACTGACATACTTGATTCGGTTTAGTTTGGGCAGCTGAGAAAAACCAATGCATTGACAGTCCTAAGGTCGAGATCTTCATCAATTGAGGGCTTGGTTGTTGGTGGTATTAGTTGGTTTGCTTCAGCATTGACGCAGAATCAAATCTCCCAATCAGCACTTTGGAGAAAAAAGGGTTAGAAGGAAATTGTTAATGATGCATAACACCAAATACCAAAAAAAGTTCGGAACCTTGGGAGTTTAACTGACACAATGAGATAAGTTCAACCATCTGATATAATTTTTTTTTTCGTTTTTCCACCTAGTTGGAGGAAGAACCGCAAAAGTGGTCCAAAGAAGTTAGTCGCTTGAATATAGGCATATTAGGGAATCTTCAAAATTGGACTAGTCAGACCCATGAAACCATTTTGAGCAAGAAATGAACAATGGGCTTTGGAATTAAAGGATAAAGGAGAGTAATGTACATACCAGGAGCAATGTAGCCGTAAGAGCCCGCAATTGCTGACATGCATTCGGATGCACCACCGTCGACCAAGAACTTAGCCAAACCAAAATCAGCAACATGGGCTTCAAAGCTCGAATTCAAAAGAATGTTGTTAGATTTGACATCTCTATGGACTATAAGAGGAGAACAGTCATGGTGTAGATAGCACAGACCCTTGGCAGCTTCAATGGCTATCTTGTACCTCACATTCCAACCCAAGAAGCCTCCTCTCTTCCCATGAAGAGCCTCTCCCAAGCTTCCATTCCTCATGTATTCGTATACCAATAAGTTGGTCTCTGAATTCGAACAGAAAGCTAACAATCTCACTATGTTTCTGTGTCGAATATTGCCTAGTGTTTGAATTTCAGCCCTGAATCCATGGTCATGGCTGGCATTGCCCAGTCCTAGCAGTTTCTTCACTGCAATTTCCTCTCCGTTTGGCATCTTACCCAGATATACAATCCCAGCTCCTCCCCGTCCTATCACATTGCTGTCTTTCATGCATTCTAGCACATCAGAGACTGTGAATTCCAGTTTCTGGAATGCAGTCATCTTCCATGTATGTGAACTGCGTCTCTTGAATGATTTGGCCTTGATAATCGCTGCGGTGGCAAACACCAGGGAGCATATCAGAAGCGCAAGAGCAAAGATGAGTTTGAAATCGCTAGGGGCTTTCCCGGGTTTGATCATGATTGTAGTATAATTGCACGGGTTGTTGAGGAGAGAGCCACAGAGTCGGGGGTTGCCAGCAAATGCAGAGGACTTGAAGTACAGAAACTGTCCAAATTCTGGTACCTTACCTGAGAAATCATTGAAGGAGAAATCTGCAACGGTTAAGCTCTTCATGGTCCCAATCGACTTGGGTATGGTGTGATTGAGGTGATTCCTTGACAGGTTCAAATAATTCAAGAAATTAATACTGGAAATTTCAGGTGGGATGGGGCCAGAGAGGTTGTTCTGACTGAGGTCTAGATAGGTTAGATGAGAACATTTTCCAATCTCTGGTGGGATTTGGTGGGAGAGTGTGTTCTGACTGAGGTCAACTTTCAGAACCTGGCAGACGTCCCCAAATGATGGGATTGGACCTGAGAATTGGTTTCCACTGAGTAACAGGATTTGGAGGGAAGAGAAATTTGAAATGGAAGACGGTAGAGGCCCTGAAAGAAGATTGTTAGACAGGTTCAACTGACCCAATTTAGTTGGCATGGAGCTACTGTTCGTGTTCTCTGATAAAGTTCCTGATAGATAGTTGTCCTGTAACTCTGCTAAATTGATCTCAGGTAAGTATAGGAAGCCAGTGGGAATGCTACCATTCAAGTAATTTTGCCCCAACCTTACTCTGGTGAGGCTCCAACATGTCCCCAAGTCTTCTGGGATCTGGCCGAAGAGAAAATTTTTCAGGAGTATCAGTATCCTGAGCTGATTCCTGGAACAGAGGCCTCGAGGGATGGTTCCAGTGAGCTTATTGGTGGACAGATCGAGCACTTGAAGTTTCCCATTTTGGCCGAGTTTCTCAGGAATCACACCAGTGAAATTGTTCATCCAAAGAGCTAGTGTGTCCAAATTCGGCAAGTCCGCAATGAAATCGGGGATAGACCCATGTAACCTGTTCATGAACAGGTTCAGAAGACTCAGCTCTCTCAGGTTGGCGAAATCAAATGGGATCTCTCCTGTGAGTGCATTGTTGGAAAGATCAAGAAACACCAAATTCGTCAGGTTGCCCAACTGACGTGGAATCGAACCTGATAGGAGATTGGCATGAAGAAAGAGGGTGTTGAGAAACCTTAAATTTCCTAATTGGGTTGGAATTTGTCCATCTAGCTCACAGCTGGAAAGATCCAAATGAACTAGATTTATCAAATTACCGAGCTCTACTGGAATCCCACCTTCAAAAATATTGTAATAGCCCAAGTAAAGCTGTTTTATGTTTGTGAGATTGCCCAACTCACCTGGAATCTTTCCATGGAGGTCATTTCCTGAAAGTGATAGGTATTCCAACCCAATCAGATTGCCGTAGCTTGCAGGGATTTCTCCATGGAAAAAATTCCCACCAAGGTCTAGGTACTTGAGTTTCTTGCATCTTAGAATGCCAAGTGGGAGAAGAGCAGTGAAATTGTTGTTGTAAGCATCAAACACCTCCAAGTTTGCCAAGCTTGAGTAATCCCAATCTAAGCCGCCAATGAACTGATTGTTTGAGATGTTGAGAGTCCGGAGACTAGTTAAATTACTGATCTCAATCTTGCCTGTGAAGTTGTTTCCTGCGAGAGAGAGGTTAACAAGCCGATCTAGACTGGAAATCAATGGCGAAATGGAACCATAGAGATTCAAGTCTGTTAAATCTAGTGCAACTACCCTGTCCTTCTCACACAGGACTCCAAGCCATCGACAGACCGAGCTTGGATTCGAGACGTCCCAACTGCTTAATGCTATACTAGAGAACTCGAATCCTTTTTTCAGTGAGGCTAGAACAATAGCATCACTGAGAAGAGAAGAAGATGAGCAGGTGCCCAGAAGGGACAACAGTGCCAAAACAAACAAAGGGGGCATTTCTTTTAGAATTCTTTCTGGTAAAGATCAATTTTCAGAACCTGGGTTTGGACGAATTCAGAGAGGAGAAGCGTTCAAGTGCTTCGCTGAGCATGAATTTAACAGAAAAGCAAGGGAAAGGAAGAGGAATCTCAGAAACTTCAGGTGTGTATGGGTTTAGCAAATCAAGCATCTTCAAAGTAGAGACTTCACATTCAAGGAAGAGGACAAGCCCTTCTTTTTCTTTACAAAGAGAGGTGAAGGGGATTAATAAGATGAAAGGAAGCTCTGAGTTCTGCTCTAATTGATTTAGCAACTATCCGTCCATTCAGTCTTTAAACTTCTTTAACCTGAGCTTGAGATAAAGCAGGAAGAGAAAAAAAAAAGAAGTGCATGAATCCTTTTTAAAACCCACACAAGCGTAAATTTAAAAGAAAAAAGAAGCCGCTACATTGGATAACAGAAATTTAAAGTTTAGATTAGGGGAGAAAAAGTGATTCTCTTCTTTAACCCAATGACAACAATACCCTCAAACTACGATTTGAATGACACTATGGCATAGGACACTATTCATTAAAGAGGGTTGTTTTGAATTTGATGGATAAATTGAATTTTATCAATATTAAGAGTGATATTCATTCAGGTATGACGGGTATGAATGATGTCGAAAGTGAAGGGCATAGTTGTCATGATAGAAACATATCTAATTTTGAGATGTCATATCCTTTTTCTTTTTCTAGAAGTTATGCCCTTTTCAATTTTTGGGTACGCTGTTTAAATTGGAAAATCAAAATGCCAGCGTACAGAGACCCCATCTACATGCAGTGGCGCAGCCTACAGGTTGGTTTAAATTACAGGGAAAATGATTATTATATTGTACTAGGGATTTGTTCTTCTATATTTGTCGTACCATATACAATTATACCATAAAGCCAGACCTTGATATATGTTGTTGCTTCTAGCTTAGAAATGTCTTAGGAGAGGGAGGATGTTGTCACGGTGGGACTTGATTGAGAACCATACCGGTTAATGAGTCTCCCATGTGGAATGGTTCAATCATCCAGTTCAACCCTTCGATTCATTCAAATTAAAAATGTTGAAAGAAAAAAAAATAAAAGGTTGAAAATAGTTGTAGATTGTCTTTAAAACTATTTATAACATCAAAATAAACTTGAAACAGGAAATATTAGAAGGCACAACACATATTAACACATGTAGGGGCAATTTTGACCATATCGACATTTCTATGAACCGGCAACTAAAAACACTGTTTTAAGTTTTAACTGCAGGTTTTTGGTTTTTGATGGTCAGACCATCTGGTCCAGTCTGTTAGAAGCCTGATAACATTGAGAGAGAGAGAGATAGAATATGTTGAATTGATGTAGGCACATGTGGCCGTGCCCAATGGCAGGTTGGCATGTGTTAGGTGGCAGTGTTTAGAGCGGGCCCAATCAGGGCACGTGCAGAGCAGAGCTCGACGTACATTCCTGGACCAATGGCACAGTGTCACTTGGCGACCTTGGATGACCGCGTTCCCCATTTATGGACTACATCCAGACAGTCCGAGCTCACCTACCTCCTGGTGGCTTCAACTATAAATAGAAGGTAATCCCCCTCAAGGTAGGGGATTGGAATTTGAACTCAAGAACAAGCACTTGCGAATCCCTACTCTATTTTATGGTCTTGTCTGAGTATTCCTCACCTCAGGCCTCATCTACTTTATATCCCTCATATTAATTTGAGCATCGAAGTCTCCACCTTGGGTACCAACCCGAGGCCTCTAACATCCTCCTTCACTCTTTGCAGCACCGGCCTATTAATCCTCGACCATCTCGAACCTTAGACTATTTAGAATACCTCGGCTTAAGAGTGAATTGATAGTATTACCCTCAGTCCATTTTGACCGGCAACTGTTATAAAAAAGCAATAATCTTGGGAATAATCTTGGGAGCGATGAGTTCAACCGGTTCAAAAGATCTTGTTTTGGGTCTATAAAAAAAGTAAATATCCCCTATAAATGTGTTGTTAGAAGGAAAAGCTGGAGAGTGTTATTATATCATTATTATGATTTATATGATGCACAGTAAATTTAATATATTGCATCACGGATATGGAGCATGAAAGAAAGAATCGTTAAAGTTTTTTCTACTTTATTCCATCTCCCTTCCTTGCCCCAAAGCCATGGGACCAGTGTCCCACATATTTTGTTTTATAGCTTTGAGAGAAGATGGTAGTCTTAAAGAGAGCACTAAATGACTAAAAAGTAAAGAAGAGATTTGTGTTTTGATTCCGCACTAGAAAAGAGAAAAAGCAGCAAAATCTAAAATCCTCTTCACATGGAAAAGAGTGCTCTTGTATTAACTTGCCTCTCTTTCTCTTTCTGTGGCCCACGTAAGACTTAAATATGGAATGGGCAAGGATCAACCATCTATTTTTGGGACAAGGGATGCCCTTGTGAGGTGTCCCTATCTATATTACTGAAGGGCTGAACCCCTTTTGAAGGGTCACTATCTTGTGGCCGAACTCTCTTAAGGATTTATTTTTCTTTTTTTCTCTTAAGGATGTGATCAAATCCTATGATGTGGTCACAGCTTGCAAAATTCATTTGATTAATTATAATATTTTATGTCTCCACAAGCGCAAAAAGGAGTGTCCAAGGCAAAATAGGGAATATAAAAGGGTGCCTAGTGTGTTTAAAGAAGGCAAGTAGTACTCTTTACTAAAGCAACATCTTGACTACTTTGGCAGATGTCTTTATATCATAAGGTTGGGAAAACACAATGAAACTGACTGATGACTTGGCCAAGCCATATCATCTTTTAAGACTCACCTTCTCAGAAACCCTAATTACTTCACAAAGCCTTAATAGCTGATTTTTACTGAAAATTTTCTTCATCTACCGGTTACCCAGCCTATTATTTATGAGCTAGGGCTTGGTGTTTTCTTCAATAAGCCTTATATCAGCAATTTGAATCCACTGTACAGTTCCTTTTGCAAGGGCACGTTGTGGCAGTAGTCGAAGGTCCCCCTATTCGGAAATCAAGATTGCTTTCAAGAAAAGTTTCCGGCAACTATGTCATGTCATTATAGGTGGACAGTTGTCAGCCAGTAGCATACATGCTTAATTCATGACTAGGCCGGGATTGCTCCGTTGGTTGGACCGAGATGGTTCAGTTCTGACTCAGGACGGGTTAAACCGGGTTGTTGCGTGTTATATGTCCACCCTCACACTTACACCATTATATTCAGATCAGTAGTTCATCAACATATGGGCCTACGTCTACATTTGGGGACGTTAAGAGCAAGATCTAACTACGTACAGAGGTAAACATTATGGCAGTGTTGTATACTATGAACAGTGGGCTTTACACGGATACTTGTGCTATATTTTCTGAAGGAATTCAAGAGAGTGTAAGATTACTGTTACTGCTACTAATCATGATCAATGACCCTTGCCTTTAAACGTGACAACTTGGCCATCTTCTGCATTCTTTCTCTCAATAAAGAAGCACTGTTGTCTAAGACATGCTGGCAAAAGGTGACACTTTCCAGATTATACCATGCACACTTTAGGGTACCCTAGAAGGTCGACCATGCATCATCTTATCCCTCTTTATGTAAATGTATTAATAACAGGTATGAAATAGTAATGGATACCTATGCCTTGTAAGAGTTTCTAGACCCAAACATCAATGAATGATTTCTGATCAACCCATCTTAACTGTTGTTTTTAGTTGTTCATATGAGTTGTTGTGGGACCTGAAGAGGGATTAAGCTCCTTTCCCTTACGCTTATGAACATATCTTCTTCAGAAACTTTTGTGAAGAAGGTTGTACAAAACCGATAAGGATTCTATTACAAACTGATGAGGGGAGAACGATCAGTACCTTCTGCACCCTGATCAGTACCTCCTGCAAAATTCCTTCTCTTGCTTATCACATGGGATTTACATTGAATAAGTATTTCTATATCATTGTTAACGCTTGAGGCCTACTTGAGAAGTGGTTTAGTTTTTCAACGGTAAGAATGTGAGAATGGAAGGTAGTAAAAAAGACATAAAGAGAAAAGAGAGTAAATAAAGAAGCAAAAATTAAAGGTGTGGAGAGAGAGAGAGAGAGAGAAAGAAGCAATGAGCAATGAGCATTCGGTCTTGCATTCTTTGGAGACCTTTGGGGATTACCAACGAGCTTTCTTCGTAGCTAGCTGCTGGCTTATAGGACAAGGAAGTATCTTTAGAAGGTGCCAATGGTCCTCTCATATGAAGTGAATGATGATAAAAAGCATGTAAAGACTGTAAATAAAGTAATCATGAACAATTTGCAACAAATGAATGCACACCTCCCTAGAACGCTGCAGTGACTAGTTGGCCTCATAGTGAATCAAAGACAAAAATAAAGCTCATCTCCCACTTACCCACTCCTTGGTTTTCTCTTTTCTTTAATTTTCCTTCTTTTGTTTGAACATTACGCTGTGCTTTTCTTGTTTCTTTTTTGGTAAACAAAGCAACAAAAAACTAAACCGCAGGAACAATACACATCATTAAGAGCAATCAGCTTGAATCACATGCATCCAAAAGCCAGGTTGGGCTATGACTCGAACAGCCCATCCAACCTGGATTTCGAAGCAGCAACATAGCGTGTGTAGGCCCCAAAAATACAATGAAATGGTTAACAAAAGACTTGAAAGTAGCCTAAAACCAGTTGTAGGCAGGGAGGTAAGGCAACAGTGTGGGTCTTATGAAAGACAATAGATAACTTGAGAGGGTGGTGGAAGAAAAGGAAGGAAGAGTTGTAGAAAACTATAAGGAAGTTTTAATAGAAGTTGAAGGGGAGTTGAAGATGCAATTAAGGCTCACGCAAAGGCTTGGTACTAACGCTATGTTCGTTTTTCGGTAAGTTATTTACCCAGGTGTCATCACCCAATTTTTGCTCGGTCCCTTCACCCTACCTCTTTGTACCTTCCTCTTAGACCCAAAAACTTGGAAACACAACCAGGTTAACTCGACACTTTTCAAAACCTGAAATACCCTCATTTGATATAATCCACGAGACGAACAAGAATCTTGAAATCAACATCAACGTCTGATCAGACATCATCCCCAGACTTGGAAAACTACAACTTAGTTACACATCAATTTTCATTACTAACAAAGTTCTATTGTTCATCACGCCAACTTCCCTTCTAACTGCCTGATTTATGCGATATTTAAATTCCAACCCCTCCAAAATCAAATCCAACATATCAATTACCTTAGGATTACTAGGAAATAATTAACTAGCAAATCCAAATACAAATCTACGACAACCAACTGCAAAAACATCAAGATCCCATTTTGATGGCTTTTAATGATTACCAAGATTAACCATATTTT